GTGGGCACAGTGGCTGCTGAGTTCCTGTACAAATAACACCATGACAAGAGGCAGAGGAGGTCCCGGGTCATGTGTGTGCTCACGGTACAGACCAACATAACACGGATCAGCCTTGTGGTGACCTCACATGTAACATGTATGTACATCAGGAGATCATATATACTCGTCTCTTTTATAGCTCTGACATATACCGCAGCGCTGTACAGAGAACATTGAGCCAGTCACATCAGTCTCTGTACAGAGGAGCTTACACTCTAATGTCCCCTCCCCCCACAGTCACATCAGTCTCTGTACAGAGGAGCTTACACTCTAATGTCCCCTCCCCCACAGTCACACACATTGTGTAGATAGAGCTCTGTTGGGGGCCCTCTTTGGGGTTCTGGACAATGGTGTAGTAATGTTGGAGGAAGGATGAGGATGATGATGAGGATGATGATGAGGATGATGATGAGGATGATGATGGAGAGATGAGTGAGCGGTTTATATGGGGAAGAGATTTTCTTGCTCATAATCTGATTTTTTTTTTTTGGCTGTCTATCTCTGTGAATTCAGTTCCTGTTTCTGGGGCGAGGATGACGGGGGATCTGCCCATTGTTTTGATTTTCTGTCCATTCATTCCTGACATTTGCACAGCTCTGCCACAAAACACAGTCCTGCCCGGCATATGAGGAGACCTGATTCTTCTCCATTTTATGCAGTTTCCCTTTCACTTACAGGCAACCCCCGCTTCGTGACTGATCAATAAAACAAGGAAGCTGCACACTGATTGGCTCATCTCTCACCTGTATCACTCTGCTCTCTCCATCTATCCGCATATTCCCTGTAAGATATGAACTGATTGGCTCCTTGTGCTGCTCTCCCCTCCCCCCCTGTACAGGAAGCTGATAACAAGTCACATTCTGGAGCTTCCACACCTCGTATTTAAAAATACATTTCATGATCTATAAAAGAATTCGGAATTCCATGTGAAGGCGGCTCCATCACTCGGCTCCGCATGGCTGGGTGCCGGTCCGGTGTTATTATCTGAGGACACGGATCCAACATTTGTGTGCGGTCCTTGTCCCCCTCCCCCGACCTTCAATGAGGTCCCACCAGTGACTTGTGTCCCCTCCCCGTCCTCTGTCAGCTGCCATCAGGGGGACCGACGTTTAGTGAGGAGCGTAAAATCTCTGCTGTGTTCCTGGACTGGAGGTCAGCCATGTGTGTGGTCCCCGTACCGCCGCCCGCCGGCTCCCCGTACC